TAAAGCCTCAGATGTGTATGGCTTTGGTATGATTATGTGGGAATGGTTGACAGGAAGAAGGCCTTTTTGGAATCGAGTTCATGATGTAGATCTTATTATTGACATTTGTGATGGTCTTCGCCCTCCGATCGTTACAAATGCACCTGAAGGTTATGTTGAACTAATGCAAGAATGTTGGCATTCTAATCCAAAAAGAAGACCAACTGCTGCTGATATCCAATCAAGAATTATGAGTATTTGGAACTCAGAACCTACAAAATATCAAAATGGAAGTCCAATTATATCCGTTAATTCACCAGATATTGGGCCTATAGAAAATACACACGGTGCCATCTATAAAAGTAGATCTTTAAGCGCAATGATAAGATCTGCCGAGTCTACAAGAAGTTTAAAAAGCATAACTTTGGATCTTGGTAAATTTGCTTTATTTTTTGAAAAAAAACTATTAAATCACTATTATTAATAATTACATATTTAAAGGTAAAAGAAGATTTGACGTTAATCCGATTGATGATGGTCTAATTACAAAGAAATTTAAATCTATTGGTAAATATCCTTTTTATAAATTTTTATGATTTATATATAAAAATAACATTTGTTTATGATGTATAAATAGATTACGTTTCCAAAGAGCTTGGATTCGACATCTAATTATAAATTGATTCCAATTTCAATTATTATTATTATTATTTTTCGATATTATTGGCTTGTTAAATTTTCGATTCAATAGATATAATAATACAGTAAAGTGTTACTTTGATTGAGAAAATGCAGTGAAGTGTCTTTTTTATCGAAAAAATGTTTGAACAAACAAGTTTTATCTACCTTGTTATCTTTTAACAAATACTTATTTCAAATATTGTCATTTTTCGGATATAATTTACAATAAACTATATTAATAATTATTATAATTTGAACACTAAAAAAATGAGCAAAAACAAGCCGAGTCGAAATGAATTCTTGCGGAATAAGAGTATTAAAATTATTAACAAAATAGTCAAGTTGACTTCCTTCCTTTCGCAATTTTAATAAAAAAAAATAAATAATTGAGCCTATTGCATTCAATTCTTTATTTCTGTATTTCATTGAATAATTTGATCATATCATTATACTTTATATCTGATATAAGGTTTTATAGCGAGTTCCTATTATTAAATTTTCTAGGGATCTTAGTTTAACTGCCCATATTTTTAGATAAGGAGTTTAATTTTCAACGAAGGTGGAGAAATTTCATAAAATCAGAATATAGTGCTCGTTAACGAGCTTTTTTAAAAAAAATTTCACTCCCTAAATTTTTTTTTTTTTCGTTAACTTTCAAAACTTCAGCTATTACACACGCAAAAAAGCTTTATAATATTTTTAAAATCGATACTTACTAGATGTAGTAATGCCATTAATTAATACAAGATGAAGGCAAAGATTTTGATGAAGTGAAGAAATTAATCGATAAATGCATCTCTCTTTCCACTCTATCATCCGATTAAATTTTTAACAGCTTAATGAAAATCAAAATGAAGCGGCGTATATTTTTTTCCTCGGAACTTTTTCCGATTACAATATGCTCATTTTAAAAGAAAGCGATCCTTATGTTATTAAAACCAACACAAGTACAGTACATGACAAATCGTTTTATTAATTAATAAACGATGGTCTTCTTGTCTTATGAAAGATGAGTGAATCAGATTATTTTAAAATAAAATAATCTTGCATCGTGCTTGCTTAATTGAAACCTACACAGAACTAATTGAAGTATAATTTTAGTTGTAATCCGACAATATGATCTTTTGCATTATTTGTGGGATATGAATTTAAAAAAGAAACATATGCTCAGAAAACAATTTATGGAATGAGGAGATTTTCTAAAACTTTCTAAATTTTAGAAAGTGCTTTGATCAAATAATTAATTTCACCATAACGCTATTACATAATATAATCATCAAGGTAAAAAATTTCCCATAGATAGAAATTTTTTATCTTCGCAACATCTTTAACTAAAACAAAAAAAACGAACCGACTATATTTACCTTTTTTCATTTTTTATTTGTGTGCGACGGAGCAGTCGAAACTCTATGTTTTGGGATGTTATTATGGTTTAATAGTACAACTATTATATTTTCCACGGTACTGTCGAAATCTAAAGGTAACTTAAAAACAAAACTTTTATAGTTTTCGATGGTACCGTTGAAACCTAAGGGATTAACTCGTACTTAGAAACAAAGATAAGGTGTTGAGCTTATGCTTTGTCGTAATAATTCACTTGCTTTGTTCTTTTTATAAATACCTATTGCAGGGTTGGGAATTTTGTATGTACTAGATAAATTTAACACTGTACTTGTACTAATTTTTATATTAATTATTATAATGTACTAATTGTACTAATCATTGTACTAACAATGTACTTCCCAACCCTGCCTATTGTGCACGAAAAATTTGTCTTTAATATACTTTGTATGATATTTTGCTTTATTTAATATATATATATATATATATATATATTTCTCAATTTCTATAGAAATAGAGTGAGTCTTGAGAGAAATGGAAGTTGATCTTTACCAGCCTAGATTAATTTGGACCACCTTAAGCCGCGAACTTCGTAATGTAGAACGAAGTGATAAATATTTGTCTTTTGGTTTTATGAACTTCTACCATCAGACACTCCCCTCAAATCTATAGTAATGTGGGGTTTACTTGAGGGAAAAGAAGACGTGTGAAATTGACCTTGACCATGAAAACTATGCTACATGTTTTCAAAGAATTTATGAACTTCGTAATGTAGAACGAAATGATTTAAAATTTTTGTCCTTTAACGATTCGAGCCGAACATTTCTTGATATATAGAGGGAAAAGGCATTTGAAAATTGGAATTCATGGAGGTTTCCAAGAGTAAATATATGGGACAGCTATTGGAATTATATTATTTACTATTTCATAACTCTTATAACAATGTGTTCGATTCAAATGTCAATATTGGAAACTGAAGAATTAAACCCTCATTATTAAACCGATTTGAAGTTATCTAATTGGACATATAATCTTATATATGTTCAATTGGAAATCAAAATCCAAAACTGCAACAACACGACACGACTAAATGTCGAAGTTGAACTTTATGGATGCCGTGGATACAATGTTTTCGTTCAGATCTGAGGTTGGAACTGTCTAAAATGTTAACGCGTTAACCATCTTAACCGGTAAAATAACTGGTTCCAACCCCTACTTCAGTTTCAGTGCTGCAGTGACATTGCTGTGCAAGCGAAAAAGAACCGAAATTTGATCCTGAACAAAAGGTTATTCTTGGAGTTTTGCAATATCTCGAGAAAAAGTTCAAAATCTCCTCAAGGAATAGGGGCTGAAATAAAACTTAACTATTCGTTCACGATAGAAGATTTGAAACTGATGAATATTAGCTTATCAGATGGAATGGGACATTAGAATTCCAAAAGCAGAAATAACCCAATAATGGCCGTGTATTCTTTATGACGATATGGTAGAACCCAAACAGATGATCTCTTACATCGTGAGAGTTCTCCAAGCACATTGATGAATGATTATAAGAGCGTCTTGACAATTAACAGAGATTAAATTTCTAAGGCGCAACGAAATATCATAATTGTTATATCTATTATCTTAGCTATATTTATTTTATTTGTTGTATTATATAGTAAAGTTAGATTAGTCCTGTATAATATAGTTCGACAAAAATTTAGGAGATAATTAATAAAATTCTTATTTACAATTTCAACCTTTTTGATCTAAAAATATTTAATCAATATAATAAGTTTCATTATAATAACGTGGGTAATTCGTATCATCTTCGAATATTCCGTTGAATTTTCGAATTTCTTTTTGAAAATTGAACCGAAGCCCTGCCCAGGGATTCAAATTATTGATTTATGAACTGTGAACATGAAAAATACTAAACAACCCCATTTGAAAAAAAAAGTCCATGAATACGAGAAAAGAAATTTTGATAAAATTATAAAAAGAGAATTTAAGTCCTCAAAAGTTAATTCAAATAAATTTGTTTATAAATCACAGATCGATTAAAATACATCATGTTTAATTGTAAAAGCGATTAAGTAGATAAATTATGTCTAAAATAATATTATATAAAGATAAACCAAATATAATCTATTGCAATTATTGCGGATCATGTGAAATTATGTGCAATCTATGTGTGCATCTATGTGCCTATATGAAAGACCAAATTATGTGATATTAAATTATGCGCCATTAATGCACAAAATTTTGTGATTTATCGTCTCTGGTACGGAGTAACTGAATATTGAACGATTTAAAAAATCGTCCCAAAGGGACGATAGTAAGAACGACTAAAAAATAGTCCTTTTCATAAAAAAGGAATTACTTAATGAATTATTTAAATTATAAACTAAGAATATTAATGTTTAAATAAAAATACGTGTAAAATACTGATTTCCTTATAAGATGGTTTCAATGCTTTTATACCTTCATATCTGAACACGAGATACTTATCACAAATTTAAAGGTCTGAACATCTAATAATGCATAATTAAGTAATTACATATAATTATTTAAAAAAAATTATTATAATTTCAAATCATATTCACCATTAGGAATTTCCAATTCATCTTGTTCTTCTGAATGTTGATTTGGATTATTGTACATTTCATCTTCTATAAAAAAAACGACATGTCATAAAATACATAAAATCGAATTAGAACATAAATCTAAAAATTTAGTTTATTCGTACCATCAATATTTTTATTTTGTTGTTTCAACCTTTTATATTCATCTGGAACTACAAAAAAAAAAAAATTATCAAATAAATTTATATTTAATAAAATATTAAAGTCGATTTATTTTACTTACCGCTTAAAAGTCTGCAATTAACTAAATTATCAAAATTATAAATTAAAAATGCATAAATAAATAAAGATAACCATAATTCTTTCGATATCACAATTTAACAAATACCATTTGAATTATTACATATTTTTACAGAATGATGATAAATTGATTTATCTAAATCGCGAACTAAATAAGAGAAAAAGGTAAGTAAGAATGATATTAAATAATCATCATTTTTTAATAAAACACACTTACTATTACAAGGAATGTTATAGCTATAAAATTGACTATGAAATTCTAAGGATAAAATTATTAATAATAATTAGCTAAACTCTTGCTTTGTATATCGATTTAAATTTATACATACGTTCTTGTTCCTCTAGTTTCATTTAAAAAGTAATATTTCATACAATACAATAATAACAACAATATATTTAGCCCAATAAAAAATAATATAAAAGTCGGTAATTAAAAATTAAATAAATATACCTTCTGTCACGTTCCTTGGTTCAGGAAAACTGTAAGATTGAAGTTGTATACTAGTAAATAATCTGCTACTTTCATAAGCATTTTCTAGGCTAGGAATACTATTACTTTCTAAATCAATTATTTCTAATTGAGAAAGGTTATTTGATATAAAAGGTTTTATGATTTCTCGGATTTCTTTATAAAGCGCAAAAATATCGGGTCTTTTTGATGAATCAGCGTCCCAACAATTTTTCATTAAATTTTTATACCTGATAGGTGTATCTGATACGATCTTTGGTCTCATACCATTAACGATATTCATCGCGAGATAATAATTATGCTCATAATTAATAAATGGTGGTTGTCTAGATGAAATTTCCCACATAAGCATACCAATACTATAAATGTCGGATTTAAAAGTATATCTTTTTCCACAAATAACTTCGGGTGCTATATAAGGAAGATTTCCATATATGTCTTGCTGTGACTTGTTTACTGGGCCACAAAATCCAAGGTCACTAATATACCATTCATTATTATGTTGTGAATATAATATATTTCCAGAATGCAGGTCTCTATGAATGGCATCCTCCTCATGAATTCTATAAAGTGCATATATTATATTAAAAGCAATTTTAATTCTTTCGTTCCAAGTAATTTGGTTACGTCGATGCAGATATTTTCTCAAATCCGTAGTCATCCGATCCATTATAAGCATGTAAGTCCCTTTGGTGTCTTGCGTCAATCCGTAACTTTGGACGATACTTAACCATTTATTGCTTATAGATAAATGTGATTTAGCCTATCAAAAGAAAATTTTTTAAGTATATATTTTTTTTTAAAAAAATATATATATATAAATAAAAACAAAAACGGTAGTATTACGTACTTCATCAAACCAACTTTGATTCGCGCTTTCAATATCTTCTAATCTTTTAAGTATTACCTGTCGTGATCCAGATCGTTTTAATTGTTTTTCCTTATTATCCCATTCATGATAATACCCATCAACCCAATCCGCAGTATAAATTTCGGAGCATCCACCTTTAGTAAAAAATTCAATGTTTTGTAATTTGTAATAGGGGATCCACTCAATTATTGCATCTGGTCTGACCGCTTTGATTTGATACGTCCGTATTAGCTCATCGATATCGATATGACCGGACGACCAACTCGAGAATTTTAATTTTAGATAATTTCGAACGCAATGTTCACAATATAATATTGCAAAACATTCTAATGAACAATTTTCGCAAATTCTTTTCTTTCCCTCATTAAATACGATATTATCTCGGTCGTAATTCTTCATCAACATCTTTTTCGCTTCTTCTTTTTCTCCATCATTAAGGGATTTATCTTTAAGGATAGTGGCTATTCTAAAATCGTGTCGTACATGCCTATTTTTTTGAAGATTATCATCTACCAATATATGCGCCCGGTTAATTGCAGCCTTAATTTTAGACATAATAAAAAAAAGGAATGCGCTTTTTTTTTTTTTTTTTTTTTTTTTTTTTTTAATCGTTCATTATTTATAATATATAAATGAATTAATTGCATTTAGAAAAAAAAACTGATTACATATTTTATATAACTATCCGCGTTTCTAACTCCGAAATTTATTTTAATGAATTCTGATTTAGAAATTGGCAATTCAACACTTGTACCACAAGATTTTAATAATCTCGAAATCTCGTAGGAAGCACAATATTTAAATGGAATCAAATGGAGACAAATTCGGTAAATCAAAAAGCTAAAGTAAAAGCAAAAGATAAAAGGAACGACCGGTCCTTCCAAATAAAGGAAACCGTGTATATCGGCTAATTTTTTAGCTTTAACATCATGAAAGTTCTCTTGTCGTACAAAAATTAAAAAAAGATAATAAATAAATTTTTTTTTCTTAAAAAAGAGATCATTCGATTATTCTGAATAAAAAAATAAATATTTGTCTTTTTTTTTTTTTTTTTTTTTTTTAATGAAAAAGTATTTATTATACGCCATGTGATTCATTAAAAAATTCGTTGAAAAAAGGTCTATTGCATGCAAAACTACTGAATGCTTTTTGAGTAGATAATAAAGTTTCCAGCAGAATCAAAATTCTGGCTAAATCAGCTGGCAAATTAAGTTTTTAGAAGTGCAAAAAAAAATTATAATCAAACAATCGTATTGATATTCTTTCAAATGGATTGAATCAATTATAATAATCAACTATAATTAATTAATATATATAATGGTTCATTATATACAAACAGTCACATCAAGAAAAGCTTTGAGAAAAGTTTCCCAAGTACAGTTTAAATCCTTATATATTACAACCTTACATCAATTATATAAAATATATATATATATTAACCTTTTTTGATATACAGTGAGATCTCTTTAAATACATCTTTTCTAAATACACTTATTATATATTTTTTCTATAAATGTATATTTCATACAGTTCTAAATATATAAAGATCATACAAAATTTCTCTTTTTAAATGTATACCCTCTTTAAATACACATTTTTTTCAAATTTTCATTATGGTCTCAAGGTGGATGCATTTAGAAAGGTCTTACTATATATTATTTAATTATATTAATAAATGATAATAAATGATAAAATATATAAATGCCATAAATATCTTTGATTAATAGTGATATTATTTGTAAGTATTATTTTATATAATATTACAATATCTCAAGTTCAACTCTTCAATATTTAGAACTTAACAATACTTCTAATTTTTTTAATTCAATAATAATTTCATTTCTGATAGTAACAATCTATATATCATTTTTGATAAATAGTAATCTTATTATTTAATTATTTAAGATTTATCTTAACAAGCAAATCTGATTATTTGTGATAAATCTTTTATTACTTTGCTTAAAAAATATATTACCAAAAAAAAAATAAAGCATTGTAATTAATACAAACTAAATCATTGAAATTAATTCTTAAAAATTGATTAACTTAAACCTAATTAGAAAAGTATTGAATAATAATGTGAAAATCCTATAATTATATATTTTAATGGAAATTTCCAAAGGTTATAAGATACAAAAATCCTTTGAAAAAAAATATCTTGATTAAATAAAATATTAAAAAATAAATAAATCAAAAAAATAAAATGCATATTATATAATAATATAAGATATTAATGATGCTAATCAAAATTTATAACTTTAAAATTTAAAAAGAATTTTTTAATATAAAATTTGATTAAATTTAATTGAGTTAGAAAAACCTATTAGAAGTTTAAATAAAGTTATTTATTATTAATCTCAAATATCTTAAAAATCAAATTTCTTAAAAATTGATTAAGAAGACATTTTTATAAAATATAATCATGAAACTTGTTCATAAAATCTTATTAAAAAAAAAGAAAAATAATATTATAATTTAATGATTTCTTTCAGTCATTCATTTATATACTAATGCATTTAAATTTAATAATTTAATTTTAATATAATAATATTATAAATTATAACTTTTACTTTTATAATAAAAAGAATATATATCAAAATATATATAGTGAGACCTCTCTAAATGCATACTTTTTAAAATATATACATATATATTTATTCTATACAGCCTCAAGTATATAAAGATCACATTCTTTAAATGCATATCCTTTTTAAATACTTACTTTTTTTCAAATTTATACTATGATCCTAAAGGGATACATTTAAAGAAATCTTATTATATATTGTTTCATTTTTAACAAGATTTTAATTAAATTTTTTACTTATATTCAAAATATTAAAAAATTTATGTTTTATTTTTATATATAATATATATATTTTGTAATTTACACAGTTTTATAAAAAATAAAAAACCCTTATTTTATAAAATAAAATTTTATTTTTTAGTAATTTATTTTAATATAAAATATTTATATAATTATATAAAATTTAAAGCTTAAAATATGTAGTAGGACTTCTTTAAATACACTCCCTCTTGAGATCATAAAAATTTGAAAAAATGAGTATTTAAGAGGATATATATTTAAAGAGAAAAATTTTATATGATTTTTATATATTTGAAGCTATATAAAATATGTATTTATAGAAAAATATATATACATGTATTTTAAAAAGATGTATTTAGAGAGATTTCACTATAATTATTATTTTATTTTTTATAAATAATTAATAAATTTTAAAGATTAATATTAAAGATATCTTTAATTTATTTTATTATTTAAAAATTATTAAAGTATAAATATAATTAATTATTTATTTTTATTTTTTTAAAACAATTATAATATTTTTAAAATTTTGTTATTTTATCTTTTTATATTAAATAATTAAAATTTATTAATATAAAGTTTAAAAAAAAAAAATTTTATAAATATCATAGAATATCATTAACTTTTAAAAATTAAAAAATAATAATTTTCTAATATCTTTTAAAAGAATTTAATTAATTATAAATAATTTTAATAAAATTTATAATGTTAAAATCTAATTAAAATGCATAATAACATATATTTATAAATATTTTATTTAATAAATTGCAATTTATTTTATTTTTAATATTGAATATAAAGATAATTTTATTAATAAACTATATTCTTTCAATATATTTTTGAAAGATAATAAATATTTTTTATATTTTTTTTAATATTTTAAAACATTATATAATTTGTTTGAATAATTATTAATAAATTTTACAAATAACGCTTATAAAAGTATCTTAGAAAATATTATTACATTAATGATAACAATTTTACATTTTAATTAAAATTATTATAAATTATTTTTTAAACATTTTATTAAACTATTAATATTTTATAAATTTTATAATAAATTTTATAATGTTTTCTAAGCAAAATCAAAAAAAAAACTCATTTTTTAAGAATAAATAAGTAAAGGATGATTATATGGGGCCTTTGCAATAGAAAGGGGGGAAACAGCTGAAAAAATAAAAAGTGAGTTAATACTAAATTTGAACATATTTCAGCATAAAAATCATATTTGGCATATAAAGTAAAATTAATTTTTCCCAGCAGTTTCCCCCCTTTCTATTGCAAAGGCCCCATATTATAATCTAATTATTAAATAATAATATCTTACTATCTACTAACCTTAACCATATAATACAACATTAAAATATATTTTATGAGAAGAATCCAATAAATTAAATTATATTTTTTTTGCAATTATTAGATAATAAATTATTTTATTTATTGATGCTAAAAATATAAATATAATACCATTAGATAATTAGACAAATCTAATTAGTTAAATTTATAATCATTAGATATCAAAATATCTTAATTTTTTTATAATTTTGAATAAATAATATTATATCAACCATTTAAGGAACAATAAAAAATAAAAGTATTTATTATAACTTGATTTAATAGCAAAGGACCCATATTTTATTAAATTTTTTAATTTTAATTAAAGTAATTAAAGATATACAAAATAACCCATGGTTTCTAATTTGTCAGAAACCAATTTCACTTACCTCATTCACAGTATTAGTTGAAATTTCTGCAATATCATCTTTATTATCCGTTTCTAAAGGACCATATTTTTCTTCATAACCTTTAACTTTTGCTCTCATTTGAAACAAGAGATTTTGTAATCTTTCCATTTCTGCATCCAAAGATATAAGTTGATTATCCGATTCTACGTACATTTAGAAATAAGCAAGTTCAATCAAACGAAAAAAACAAAGGGAAGCCATCGCAAATTTAAAATATATAATACCCTCAAGTCCTTGTTTAAGTTCATCTATAACTTTTCGTTGTAAAGCTATTTCTACTTCATATTGTTCAACGCGTCCTTGTCGAAGTTGTCTACCTAATTCCTCATTTTCATTTTGCAAAGCAAGTAACTTTGCGACAAGTTTTTTGCCTGTAATACTGTACCCCGCAGTTTGTAATTTAATTATTTATTGGTTTTTTTTAAGATAATAATAAATAATATAATATAATATATATCACACCTGTTTGGAGTAAAACTAACACCATCTAATTCCCTTTGTAAATTTTCAAGTAATTTATCTTTATCCTCCAACTCTTTTTTCATTGTTCGAAATAATACATTAATAGCAGGATCAAGAAATTTTTTACGTAGTGATGGATCATATGCAAATTCAGGTGTAAGAATCTGAGAAAGTGTTTGAAGTTCTCCCTTTATAAATTTAAGTAATTTAGCATTGATTTATTATAATAAATAATAGAATTATTGTAATTGAACATACTAGTAAAGTTTGAATTTCTTCTTCTTTCTTTGTATAACGAACAAATAATTCTTGTGGAGGTATTTGTGACATTGGTGTACTGGGTTGCTGCGTATATGTTGAAGAAATTGAAGATGTTCTTTGATGTATTTGCTGTTGTTGCATACCTTTGCCTTTAACAGGAGATGTCGGACTTGTTGTAGAAGCAGACATCGGATCCTTTTCTTTGTCTTTATTTCTGTTAATCTCAGAAGTGCTAATTGATATGTTATTACTACCGCTCTGTCCTGTAGTCTTCGGCGGAATATTACTGTTGGAGGAAGCTGAAGTACTAGTACCAGCACGAAAATTTGAGTTATTACCAATATTAGGTTTCATAGGCAGTGTTGGTAAAGCTGGTAAAGGTATCATCTCCGTTTTATTACTCGCGTTAGGAATTCCTACTCCATTTGGGTTATCTTGCTTGGGCTACACGTAAATATACATTAGCATTAAAAGTAGTTTCACAACTTATATAATAATATAAAAACATACTTTTTTTGTTGGTTCAACTCTGCGATCTATACAGATCACGAATAATACGTTAATACAATCATTTAATAGTAAGAAATGATTCTAAAGGATATACTAACCTTCTGCCAAAGGATTTGATAACCTTCGTTTCTTTTGTGGTGATGCAGAAGTAGTAGACATAATATTTTTGAGAGGAATCAGAATGTAAACTTTGTGAAAACCGTGTCGAACTTTAAAAAGATTTATTTAAAGGGAAATGATTTCGAAGTTTCTTTAAATAATTAGATCAACGTTACACAGCATAAATATGGAATAATCTAGCAACCTGACCTTACCGATTTGGCCGATCTTGTAGATGGTTAATTTTTATATTTAGTAATATTAAAAATAATCACTGATTGTTGGATAAATAATTATCGACCAAATAAAGTAATTTATTATATACCGTAATTACCACTTTATCTTTAATGTTATTCGATATTTTCAATAATAACCCTTTACTCTCATATAAAATCAACAAATTATATTAATATCTAAATATAGAATATTATATATATACTGTAAAAGTTTAAAATAAGTTTTGAGACTATTAAATTGATTTTGAGTAATCAATGATCAAAAATTGATATGCTACAATAATCATTTATAATAAATAAAAAATTGTATTAATAATAAATAAAATAATACTTAAATGTTATAATTATTTTTATAAATTTTAAAATATTTTAACATCTTTATATATTTAAAACTTTGCTATTAAATTTATCTTATAAAATATTATTATACTAATTTTATAATACTTGAAATTTTGTTATTAAATTTACCTATTAAAGCATTATTACATAAATTTTAATTTTATTAATTATCTAATTTTAGATTTTTGAAAAGAAAAAATTTGGTTAAAAAATATCATATTTTTTTTTAAAAAATAAAAAAACTTGTTAATAATATATAATTAGTAAAAAAATAATTAGTAATATTTTAAAAGAAAAAGATCATTAGCTTTTGTAAATCTTGATTTATATCAATTAGTTTTATATGTAATATTAAGAATTTCTGATATAAATTCTAAAGATACTAATATTTCTATTTATAACAAAGATATTATTTGATATCAAGTCAATTTGAAATAAATAACTTAATATTTACATTAAATGAATTTATTACAAAAAATAATATTAAATTTGCAAATTTAAAAAATATTGTTAATAGAATAATTAAATTTTTTGTACTAAAATATAATAATAGTATTTTAAAAATTTATATAAAATAAAAAAAAGAAAATAATATATATGTATAACAATATAAAGGTTAGAATCAGCTCAAAAATCCTTAACCGATTAATAACTGGTTAAATATTATTTAACCAGTTAATTAACCAATTAAATTTAACTCAAAATAGTATTACAAATTTAGGCAAAACTAGTGAAATTTGGTAATTGCAAAAAAAAATTTTAATTCTACCTGAAAATTAAATATTAACCAAAAATTAATATTTGTTATTTTAACTAATTAAAAAAATCTTTAATTGATTAATAAAATAAATGTCTTAACTAGTTAATTAATCAGTTAAAAATTAACTAGTTTTAACCTCTATAACAGTAAAATCATATTACTAATTATATAATTTACTATATAAGAATTTTGCAATAAAGTATGAATATTTCTAAAAAAATTAAAATTTTACTTTATAAACTTAAATGTAATTTTTTTTAGTAAAATAAGTTTAAATTTAACATTATATAACTCAAAAAAAATTATTTTAGAGTTTTCTTTTTTTTTATTGCAAAGTTTTCATATTTTATGACTTAATGTTACTAGCAATATTTTATTTTTCAATAATTTTAATAAACTATTTTGAATATACTGATATCATAGCATATTAATAAAATAAATAATTTAAGTTATAATTACACAAACTTCTTCAAAGAAAAGAAATAAGACTATTTGTTTCTTGTAAAATAAAATTATCATTTATTAAAAAAAATTTTAAAAATTAATTTATAAAAATAATTAAATAATAGTAAATATATCTCACATATTTTTATTAAACATAAAATAATGTATTATTTTTAAGTTATATTCAATTATTAAAATAATTTAAAAGAAATTATAAATTTCAATTATTAAATTTTTTTAGTTAAAAATAATTTTATGTATTCAAATAGATTAGGGTATCCAGGATGGATTGGTAGGATGGTTCAAAATTCGCATGTGATTTTATCGCAAAAATTGCAATTATAATTCTGGTTGAAATCAATATAATTTTAGAGTAAAAACCTAGAGGAATCTGTGAATCAAAATTTTGATTATGTGATTGACTAAATCATCCAATCAAATTTGAATGTCATCAACATAAAATTGTAAAAAAATTGACAAATTTGTGATAAAATCATGATCAACAAATCTTAAACATTCTAAAATATATATTTTTTTTAAAAAAAAATGATTTTAATGCTTAAAATACATAATATATTTTTTTTAAAATTTGATTAAATATATACAATTTTAAAAATTTATATTATAATTATTTTAAAAAAAATTTATATTACAGAGTAAACAGAGCAATTATATTAATCAAATTTTATCTTATTTATAAAAATACTTGTATTTCCAATTTATTATATTTATTTTAATAATAAAAGTAATAAAAGATTTTTTTTAATTATAGCTTAAATATCAATATATTTATAATTCTTCAACTTGATGATAACATTTTCTATCATCATTTTTTTCTATTATATAACTTTCTTTCTTATAATAAAAGATTACATAGATTTCTTTTTTTTTTGTCTTTCTCTTATTTTCCTTCTATTTTTTGTTTTGTTCTATTAATTCATACTTCTTTTCTTCTTATTTTTTTAATGATTTTTAAGTTTTATGTCTCATTAAGCAACTCTTTTACATTTTTTCAATTCTTCTAATTTACGATTAAATGTTATATTCTCAATATAATATTGCAAATTAATATTTAAAATTCTTATTATTTTTTCATTTTCTGTGATTTTAATCTGAGAAAGATAATGAGTTTAATATTTCTTGAATACTAATAAAGATTTATTAATATTAATTAATAATAATAAGATTTAAAATTTTAGAAAAAATATAAATTTTTATTATTTTTTATAATATTAATAGATTTAAGTAAGTAAGCATTGATTAATAAAACAAAATTGACTTTTTTTTATTTTTTTTTTTTAGATTTTATATAAGAGATTATATTAGAATAAAAAAAGTTTTTAAAAAATAAAAAAATAAATATAGTAATTATAATAAATATTTTAATATTTACTCAATCTCTTTAAATTCTTATTGAAAAGTTAAATGGGAACGTTTCCAGTAAAATCAAGTCATGAGACATAGTAAATCATATGATCCGTAATGTGATTTTACTAGAAACACTCCCAAATATTATAATTTTATTTGCTACTATTTTTTATGATCTAATATTTCTTGATTAGATTTATAATTAGTGAAATTAAAGAATTTACTTTATCTAAAAATTTGATTTAAATATTTCTGTAAAGTTTAATATTAGTTTAATTACAAATTATATTTCTATTTATTTTAAATCTGTATAAAGTAAAAAGTCTTATGTTACCGTAAAGCGTGTTCTATAGTACCCTTGTGTATAATACCTCCCTTCTGGAGTGACTTAGAATGTAAAGTACCTGGGTACTATAATCACGAATGTTAAACCTCCATGTAAAGTACTGGATACTATAACCTGATATTGATATATAATACCGCGCGTTAATGTTAATAAATGTATAAATTTTAATTTTTATTAATACAAAATATGATAAATATTTATTAAATGTAAAAAATAGTTTTTATTATTACTAATAAAGTGCAAGTTATTTTTTTTCAAACATTTACATTATCTAAATTAATGCTAATTAATTTCAAGTATTTTTATAACCAGCAACAAAATCATCATATATGATATCTTCAAACATCACATTATCACCTAGATTATCATTTTCATCATTTAGAAAATCATAATCAAAAATAAAATCATCTTCTGTACCATCTTTTGCTACAAAAATACCACAACATTTGAAGGATTTTTTGATTTTTTCAACATTAATGCTATACCAAGCAACCTTAACCCATTGTGCTACTTTATTATAAGCAAGCCTTTTAATTCTTCCAGCAGGAGTAAGTTCATAAACTTCTTTAGATATTCATTCATTATATAATTCGCAAATCTAATAAAACAATAAAATTATTAAATAAAATTAAATTTTAAAAAAATAATCATAAAAAAAAAAATTTACCTTGGATTTGAATATTTTATTGATTCCCATATCTAATAGTTGAAGTCTACCAGTTAACCCTTTAGGAATTACTGCAATATTTGTTTGTTTTTCATCAAGTCTATTTTTAACACTATTAACCAAATGATCACGAAAAGAATCAAATATCAAAAGATTTCTTGGATTATTATTTGTACCTTCCCTATTACACCACACATTTTCAATCCATCAAAGCATTTCTTTCTTATTAACCCAACCTTTTTCATTAACACAAATTTTAACTTCATCAGGAAAGATTTCACGAGGAATAATTTTTAATTTGAAAATAATTACAGGTTCTAATTTAGTACCATCTGCTATACATGCCAAAACTATTGTAAAACAATTTTTTTCATGACCAGTTGACCTAATACTAACAGTTTTAGATCCCTTTGATTCTAATGTTGTTGAAGATAGTAAATCAAAACTGAGAGAAGTTTCATCAAGATTAGCAATTAAATTGAGAGGATAATCATATTATATACATCTATAAAGAATAAAACTCAAAAATGAATGCTGTTGTTCAATTTAATCTTCTGGTAATTTTTAGGAAATAGTTGTTCTTCTTCTATTAGATAAGTTATTTCTAACCACTTGTTAGAAAATTTAAAATTTTAAATTGTTGGATAAAGTTGTTTCATTTTATCAGTTTCTGCTAGTTTTTTTGCTTTTTTACAACTATATTACAAGTTACAGCTTTACATTCCTGCCTTAAATCCTGAACCCATTAAAATAATGATATTTCTAACTCAGATAAACTTAGAGACCTTTCTGGATATAACTTTTTAATATATGGAGCTGAAGTCATAAGTTGCTCCCTTTTTTTCCAATCCCTTATTTGCTTTAGTTCAATATCAAACCTTTTTGTAGCAGCCTTTTTACTTTGAATTCTTTGTGCATAATGTAATATCATAAGTTTTTCGTGAGAACACCATTATCGTTGAAGTTTTTTAGTAACTCTAGCATGCTTACAACGTTTATTACCAATTATCACCATAGTTAAATCAAAAAAATTATCACGTCACATCTATTAACTTGTTACCTATATATAGTTAAGACTTTTTTGCCATGTATTGTATTCCCATCACACCAAAGTACCCCTCCAATTATAGTACCCTTAAAATTTTGTAGAATGTAAAATATCCGGGTACTATAGAGCGCGCTTTACAGTACTATACATATTTTTTTTTAATAAAGAATTTTAAATAATATTTATATATATATTATATAGTTAGGTAAAAATTTTATGATTTGATCATAATATGATAACTAAACTATATAATATAAAAGTGAATGTAGAATAGATTAATGTAAATAATTTTTAAATGCAAAAATATGTAAAAAAATAAAATTTAATTGAAAATTTTAATTTTTATGCCTATTATTAAAATTTAATTATAAATATTTTTAATATAATTTATAATTAAGTATATTTTTTTAGGCTAAATATAATAAAATTTACTAATAGTTTCTTTAAATAATTGATGAATTACTTAATTTTAATTTTTATGCTATTTATTTATTATATAGAATCCTTATAGTAAAAAGGAGAAAGTTGTTAATAAAAATAAAAAATGAGTTAATGTAAATTTAAACATATTTCAATTTAAAAGTCATTTTTAATATATAAAAGTAAAATTGGTTTTTCAGCAGTTTTCATTTATTTATTATAAAGGTCTCATATTATAAAAAAAAATTTAAGATACTATTATACTATTATTGAAATTATTTCTGTTTTTAGAAAAAATAATTGCTCTTTTATTTCCTTTATACTAAAGCTATAATTTTATCAAATAAAGAGATTTTAATATTGATAAAAACTAGCAAATTTTAAAACTAATATTAATTCTTTAAAAATCATATTGTAATTTGATTTAAAGACATTTTTTTTTATTTTTTCTTTTAATTAAATATTGAATGATATTCTGTGAATAATTGCTTAGAATTCAGATTAATATAATCTTATTTTAAAAATTAAAAAAAAATTTTTTTTTATAATAATTTATTATTTAATTCTAATATTATTAAAAAAGGCTTTAGAAATCTTTAAAGTTAAATCAATAATAAGTTCATTTTAAGATTAAAAAATTTAATAGTAGAAAATGAATCATAATATTTTATAATAAATCTAAAAGAATTAAATAAAAAAAATAAAAGTAATATTCTATGTAAATAATATTTTAATTATAAGAATAAAATTTTATTTAAAATTTAAATAATTCTGTAAGTATATTAATATGATTATATGCTTTTTTAAAATATATTCTTAGTTGTTAATTGAATATAATTATATAATTATATAGTTAATTGTTATAATAATTTTTTTATATTATACATATTTAATATACTGTATAATATATTAATTTTAATAGTGTTTATTTATACATATTAAAAATTTTTATCTATATATGATATTATTAAAAAATATATTATATATATTAAAGATGCTTCCCTAAAATTTTTTTATATTTATGAGAGAATTTATGACCGCAGATCATACATATAAATGAGTTAACTAAAAATTCCCTAATAAATCAAAAAATATGATTATTTTTTTTTATTTTAAATGAAAAATATGAAATATTAATAATAAAGCCAAAATAATAATAATTAGTTTATGATTCAATTATAAGTTAAATTAATCCAAAGCTTTCAATACTTTATCGATATCAGATTTTAATCTATCACTTATCGGTTTTTGTTCGTTTGTAAATAAAGATTTTATTACAGGTGGTACCTTTTCACGCAAATAATGTTTCTCTAAAATAATAAAGATAAATTGGTAATTAATATCATGTAAGATCAAAAGGATTATTTTATACTTTGATTTACTTACGAGGACCACAAGCAGCCTTTGAAGCTTTCTCTAATAACATACAACCATTACTCCTTATTTCATCAGGATATTTATCTTTTTCATTTAATATAAGATCAGTTATAATATTTAATAAAGATTGTGTTGGTGTTGGTGTTGGTGGTGCAGACGCGGGTGAAGATGCAGATGCTGCATCTACTTTTGCCGTTGCTACTACAACTTCTGTATTTGATGATACTTCAACAACGCTACCATCAACTTTTTGTGAAGTCAAGAAATTTAAAGAAGGATTGGTTTCTATAATTCAAAAAAAATAAAGTAAATAAGCATTATAAAACATAAAAAAATTTATCATCATTATTATTCTTTTTTTTTTAAAAAAAGGTCATACCTTTAGCCGTATCATCCATTAATAATAATGTCAAGGCAATTATACCCTCATTTTGAAGTATAGGATATTTGGATTCTATAACCATATTAACAAGTGGCTCAACTATTTCCACTTTATTCAATTTTTGTCTCAACATTTTCATTGAAATTCCATCTATTATAATGAAATAATTTTTGATTAGAAGAAGTCTCTAATTTTTTTATCCTCCCTCTCCAAAAAAAAAATTTTTTACCTAGTTCCTTGTATGGATTTTCGCTCCAAAGCTTTTTTACAAGATTAACAAGGACACGTGTTCCCTCACTTCGAACAGGTATTTCATCTGATCTCTTAATTAAAGATAATAATCGATTTAATGGAGTTGGTGTCTCTGTATCAGCTGGATTTTCTCCCATAATAACCTTTACCGAATTTGAAACTAGTAATGATAATATATTTAAATGTTAATATATTTGTTAAACTATCCGACTTATTTAATCGGAATGTACGACTTACGATTCTGAGATGATAAATGCTTTAAAATTCCAACAACCCCTAACTGAACAGGTTGAACGGTATCTTGTTCTAATAAGGGCGCAGACATTCCAATAATTCCCAGAAATCCAATTGTTTCCTTATTTTCAACTAAATGTAATAAATTGATATTTGATGCTTTATATATAACTTACAAAAATATAAAGATTAAAAAAAAAAGAATATGACAGCAAAATACCTGGCAGTGAAATATTCTTGAGCACACTTATAATAGCATGCTGTACTTTAATGTTACTTGAAGTTCTTAGAACGTCTGCAAGTGGTTCACCAATCTTGAATTCATGAACCAATTGTATACAATGTTTATCTATAATATAAACAAACGGAAGCTTTTAAAATAAAATTTTCGAAATTTTGTAATTTTTGAAAAATTTTACGTAATTTACCAGTTCGTGCGAGATTTCCCAAAGATAATGCAGAACACATTTGTAAATCATCGCGATCTGTACTCGAATTCAACCAATGAAGGAATCGATTCAATAAAATGGCATCATTAAACAATGGATCCATATTGCTGTCTGCAGTAATTAAAAAAACAAGTTATATAAACTTAATTTTAGTTTTGAAAAATTTTTTTTCATAAATTTGCAACTTACCACTCATTGTTACAGAAACAATAACTTTCAATACGGCAGCTTTACATTCACCATAACTCTTAATTATACGTTGTTCACAATTAAGTGGGGGATTTGAAAATTCCAAGAAATCCAATAAAATAGGGAATAAATTATTTCGTACAAGAATTTGTTGCACGTCATCTACAAGAGATTGTGATGATTACAAAAATATTAATGTTTTTTCCTTTAACAAAAAATTTATTTAATTATACACACCACTTTCTAAAGCAACAGTTTCTAAAATTTCCACAACATTCTCTAATATATCAACATCATCGTCTACAGCATCTTCCCTAGATGCATACTTTAAAAGGTGAACTAAAGAGGTGATCACTTTTGTATTTCCAATCTCCTTCTTTCCCTCAGCTGAATAAGATCAAAAGTCAATTATGAAAGTTGGTTAAACAAAGATCAACATCTAATGAAATCATTGACGGACCTGTGCCGATGAGATTTATTATAACTCTAGTGGCAAAATATACACATGTTCTTGCAACTTCAATATCATTCTCGTATTTATTTAATACACACTCAGGATCAAGGATTTCGGCCAAAGTACTTAATCCATCCTTATCTACTATTCCAACATTGACATTATCTATATAATAAACAGACATGATGATTGATTGGTCAATAAATAATTAAAGGAGGGAACAGCATATAAAGATTGAAATAATAACATACCATAATTAAGACCTGCGTTTAATAATGTCGCACTAGAAGCGCGAATCGTTTCTAAATCTTTCTGTTGTTTTAAACAATTAAGCGCTACATCAATTCCACCGGTATCTATAAACTGTTGCCGGTTTTTATCTATTACAATGAACCAAGTTAATCTTTGTGATAACATAAGAATAAAGATTACTTGAGCATTTGATCTCACCATGAGTTATACAGAAATTTGCAAGTGCGCGAAGACATTGATAATCGACATTAGGATAATTTACATTGACGTTGACATTCATAAATGTAACAATTAACTCGAAAGCTCCCGATACACCGAGAGGATCACGCAAATTATCTTTTTTTTTTTTATACAAGTAAAATTAATTCCTTAATAAAACAAGACCAAGGATTTTAAACAAAATAAATCATTTACCATTTTTTGCAGCATTTGCCAATAATTCAACGATTTTTACAACCTGTGCCCAGGCATAAGTTTTACTTTGTTCATCAAACATTAAAGCATCATCAATTAAAATATGTTTACATGATTTAAGACCAGATATTAAATTTGGAATATTTATCAATAAAGGAACGATATCAAAGTTCGACACTATCAAGAAATAGAAGATGATCGATTTAGATGACTTAAAAAGACAATTTTTGATCATTTCAAATTACCGTTTGAAGTGAGTTGTTTCACGAGATCTTCAAGTTGTTTGATTTGAAAGACTAAAAAAAAAAATTTCAAGTAAAAATGATGGCGATTATTATTGATCTTTATAATAATTTCAGAAATTGAATCTTACATACCATCATTTTGCGAAATTTCAGTCATTGCTCTATTTAACTCCTAAAATTCAATAAACAAAACTCAAGAATTCGATAATTAAATAAAATAAAACGATTTTAAAAAAAAAAAATTTTTTTTTCTTTTTTAATTTAAAGCAAGAAACGTTCAAATCTCAGGATATTTATAGATTTTAATTAGGAATGCATTGTGTCATAGATCTATCCAATTATGGAAGGTCGACAATCGAAAAATCTTTTATATTAATTGCCGATCGGATTGAAACAGTAACATCATGGCTATTTGTAATTCAGTTTGTGTAAGTCTGTGTAATAAAGTTTAAAAAAAAAAGTTTTTAGTATTGAAAAAGAGCAAAGTCCAAATTTTATTTGTCGATCAAAAAAAATGAATAATTAAGAATGATACTTCAAAAATTAGCAGTCTAAAGGTCCTGACAACAAGCTTAAAAAGGATGTCTGATATTAAGTAAATATTTGTCAACCTCCTTATCTAATCTATTTCGGTATACGCTGTCTATACATCCGCGGGATATCCACTCATCGCACTGCTATAACATTATAACATGATGCAATTCTTAATGGAAAATGATCTCTTGTATTACCAAAGAATGTTGATAAAGCATAACATATACAAATTACAGGTCGGTACAACTATTATCAAGAAACGCTTGCGCGTCCTACGTCAAAGAAATGCTAATCATTTATTTCTCTGTGCGTTTTACAACTATATCGGTCAAAGTTTCGATTAAGCCAGCCGAGTCAATTAAAATTCAAACGTAGGAGTAATTGACGAGACATTTTTGAATTTTTTCCGTTACGTAATTATTATTTCTCTTTGCAAGTATGAAATGTGTGCCAGGTTACACCGTTTATATGGTTTAATGTATGTGGCGCATTTTTGCAAAAAGATGTGGATAAGTCAAATTGTACAAACAAAAACCTCATTTTGAAGTTCTAGTAATCACTTACATATACATTTTTTAAAGTTCAAATAAAAAGTTTATTAAAGTATAGTTTAGAAAATAAAAAAAAATCGTAGAAAATTGTCTGTGGCGCATGTGCGATCATCATGTCGATCATTTCCAAGAAAAGTATTTTTTCGGGATAACACATTCAGATTTGCTTCTCTTTGCAAAAGATATGATTATTATGTTATATTTTCGCATGTACAATTTATTAAAATTATTATTAAATTAGATGTTTAATATACATTCTAACTCTATTTCTATCATTTAATTGAATACTTTTTCTTTATCAAGCAAACCCAGAAAAATCATTTTTCAAACTAATGCTAGGTCCTTTGCTTAATTCCAATTGTTCATTGGCCTTCCTTTCTCTTTCTATTTGTAACCGTTGTTGAACAGCTTGTTCTTGTAATACATTATATCTTATAGCATTTTCTAATTTAGATTTAAGCTGAGGTGATAATGTGACTAATGCTTCTTTAAAATTTAATGGATTAGTAGCAGCCAATGAAAGAACATGTTTAACTGAAATTAAATGTAATTTTGGAAGTTGATTAAATGATTCTAATGGTGCATCTTCTAAAAGATTAATTAATGTTGGTAACGTAACTGCAATAACAAGCGATCCTATATCGAAATAAAAGACATGATTTATTTCAGATTAGTTAAATTTCATTTAACAAACAAAATTGAATGCATGATAATGATATTAATACTCACTGTGAGAATCGTTAGCTACAGTGTTCACCGTTAATAAAGTTTTAATAACTTCTTCAACAATATCAAGTTTATCATCGCTTTGTTCCAACTTTGAATTTTGTAAAAAAATTATTAATTGTGGTATTAGCGCCTTAATAAAATTATAACTAATCTCCGTTGAAGCCTTTGCTGTAATCGTGTCGCTTTCCGAATTGGTTGAAAGTAATATTAGAGTCCGAATACATTGTAATGAAGTTACAGCAACCTATATTACAAAATAAAGATTTTTTTTTAGTTGAATTAATATTTGCCTCGCAAGAAAAATCACGTGTGCACACTAAAGGATTTTACCGTAGTATTACTAGATTGAAACCCATTTGTTATTATCTTAACAAATTCATTTTGCAATCCTTTAGACGTTAAACAGGATTTAGGATTACAAGTAAAAAATAATACTGAAGCCAATAAATTATTTTTTATTATTGATACATCATCATCACTATATTCTCTCTCCGCACTATATATCCAACCCAAAAAGAAATTTAGTTAATAAAAAAATTTTTTATTTTTATTTTTATCATTATTGAGACTTACCTCGTTAGTAAAGAATTCATTTTAGTTAAAATAGACCAAATGGAAGAATGGATAATTTTAGAAAAATTTTGAAAATCCTTTCCATCATCATTAAAAGAACACTCCAAGTTTCCTCCGTTACATAATAGTTTTATATTATATAATACATTTTGTGTCACATCATTTTGTTGAAATTTAGGATCTTGAATTAAGGCTATAAAATTAAATTTTGTTTTTAATTAGTAAAACGAATACAGAAATATATATATTTTTTATTCTTATCATAATCAACGAGTTATACTTACTTATAAATACATAAAATGTTATAGCAATCAAATCGTTTTTATATTTAATCGGTATAATGGTAATAAGTGAAGTAAAAGCTTCTAATGATGCTTTTAATACAGTATTAATTTGTTGAGACGTTTGTCCTCTAGCATTTCCTAATAAAAATCTTATATTAAATCATCTTATCAAAAGATAAAAATAAAATAAAATAAAAGAGACTTACCTTGGGGAGGTCTAAATATCCTTAGGGAATTGGGTCTTGCAGAAAGTGAAGGAATTTTTTGAAAAAATATGTTAACAAGTAACCTTAACATGTAAAATAATATGGTTTGTGATTTATTTTCATCATTATTCATAGTAGAATCATTTTCCAAATTCACATTAATTGTTGTACTGCAAGATAAATTAAAAAACTTCTAATTATTAAAAAAATTTTTTTTTAAAATAACAAATCATCTTATGACAATACCTTCTTTTATTTTCCATAGTTAATAAATCATCACAGATAAAAGTACTTCCATAATCATTAATAATATTAGTGATAGTTTGTATAATATCATGTTGTACTTCAAATCCTTCAGTTAGAACTAACCTATCAAATAAGCTAATTAATTCAATAAATATTGTTCTTTCTAAGAATATATCACCAGAAATAATAGGTCTAAGAAAAGCTTTTAAAGCATTAATACAAGTTTTAACAACTTTATCGTTTTCACTTGTAACATTAGATTTATCTCCACTTGAATTAACACTACCGATCAATCCGCTCGATCTTCTACCACCTCCAAATGTCTTTGATAATGCTTCCACACAAAGTCCAAACAATATAAAAAAATATTTTGCTGCTTTTGCGGTGGAAGTGATGGTGGTGGAAGTAAATTCCGTGAAATCCTCAAATGACGATAAGTCATTACCAAAATTTGTAAATTTATCATGCTGCTGTTCGTCGTCTTTTACATCACTTGTGGTTGATGAAAGATCTTTTCCGTTTAATGCATTAATAATTAATGGATTGCCACTATCCACTAAACTAGCAACGGCTCCTAATATAGTCAACCAAGATCTATTATAATACTAATATTCCACGAACAATCAATTAATGTCATTAAAATATTTAAAAGACAATACGAAAAGTACTTACCGGAAGAATAACTTCTCTTGTTAATCCACTATACATTGAATCGAATACTTCAGTTTGTGTAGGTGAAAGAAATGAACGGCCAACATTTCCCCCATTTCCTCCGCTCCCGATTATATTAATTTGTGCTTCGGCTATGTCAGGTTCAACTTGAACCCTTGCATACTCTTTTAATGCTGATACCCACAAAGGACATAATAATGACAAATTTCTAAAAAAAATTATATATATAAATTAAGGTTTAACATTAAAAAAAAAAAATATATATATATAAATATATTTTAAATAAAAAGGATACGGTTCAACTACTTGTATTAAATAAGATTGTTTAATGCTAGAAACTTGTAATTCAGCCCACGCATTTAATACGGATAATTTAACCATAATAGCAGCATGAGGGCTTAAATCTTTAATGTCACCAACAGCAGTAACGTTAGCATTATCTAATTCAAATCGGATAAAATAAATAAATTATGAATAAAAATCGAAAATACAAAAAAAAAAAAAACTGCGAAAGATTATAATTACCTTTACAATTTTCCAAAGCGGTAGTTAATAACTTTAAAATGCGACCCATACGATATAATTCTTTCACGATACCACTACCAACAAATACAGCACATACTTTTACAGCAGCTGACAAAATTTCTGGTGAAGATTCAGCTGTAAACGCTGGAGTAAGTGCCGCTCCTATTTGAGCCTATTATACATGAAAATTCACGCATGCGTTAGAACAAAAATGAAGACTTTACGAAAAAGAAATGTAAGATTCCATTACCTGATATTGTTCCAAAAGAGCAGCCTCTACAAAATCTGGATCAGGTGTTGCAGCAAATTTCTAAAAAGAATAATAATCAACATGAATGAATTTTTGAAATTTTCTCCTTTAAACAAGAACCGATCCCTTTAAAGTTAATATTTACCTCAATCACATCTCTTAATACGGTCAATCCTTCTAATCTCATTTCACCAACAACGGCGGTACTAGCAGTAAATGCCATTTTGATTAATTCTTGTACTCTTAATACTAAATAATCTTTACCGTTTGCACCCTTCTTCTTTGCAATAGATAGATCAAAATGATCTTTGTCTCCAGAATTACTAATAACTTCAACAACTTGATGTAAACATTGTAACGCAAATAATTGAGTACGCCACCTAGGTGGAATTTGTACAGAATCTTGTATTAATTTAGTATTCTTTTCTAATTCCCTATTAACAGCGTTAGCTCTTTCTCTAAAATCGAAACTCTCGACGACTTCTTCACCATCATCATCATTTAAATCATTTTCATTGTTAATACCATCTAAATCATCATTACTAGAAATATCCAAAGAAGGGGGTTCGATGGGAGCGCCAGCACTTGCGACACTACCGGTTTTCGACATTACTTTTCTACATAATTCAACCCAAATAGAAGGATTATCTATCGCCGTTTGATTTAACCAACTTTTTACAATATCTTTAACACCATCAATAGTTGGATCAGTATCCAATAAACTAAATAATTGATTATCCAAACCAGGTACGGAAACTTCAAATACATGTTTAGCATTCTTTTGCACCAATTGATACAAACATGTAACAGCAACTTCTTTTAATGGTAAATGTTTACTGCTTAATTGAAATTGCAAGAATGCTACCAATCTAGGTAAATCAATAAATTGCTGAGCGAACATGATAAAATGTTGTAAACATCTAATTGATTCCACCACCACCATTTCTTCTTCATCATTTCTTAACTCGATCATTAAATTTAAACACAAGTTTCGTATTTTGGTGCTGGATTGTAATTCAGGACCTAATGTACCAATTAATCCAAATATAATTTTACCAAATTGTTGATAAGCAGAAAACCCTAATCCAACGTTAGTTGTTCCTACGCTTCCACCACCTGGTTCATGAGTATCTGACATATATAATTTGGCAATGATACCAAGAGTGCTGCTGACATATTGCGAAAACATTAATCCGGCAGACTCGATTATTTGTGATAACGCGTATAATGCCCAAAAATGTACAACGGGATGAGGATCACTACTTAATGATAATAATATACCAACCAATGTTTTCAAATGACCACCAGCCGCCATTCCGCCCACGTGACTATAAATACATCCAAGCGCTAATGCGCTACCCGCTCGAGTGTCTGGTTCTCTATTATTTACCACCTGATCTACCAACAGTTGCATTTGCGTGGTAACCAAATTACCACCAACGGTACTCAATAGTCTTCCTAATGTCTCACTTGCCGCATTTCTTAAATATGGATCCGGATGCGTGATTGATTCTTGTAACATATCCATTATAATGCTTCCGATCCTTTTATCCGCGATACCATTATTACTTCCATGATTAATATTATTGTTTTTGTTCATAATATTTTTAAATATCGCTAATAATCCAACCATCATATTAACTTGTACGGCCATTTTTCTTCCTGGACTTTTTTCTAATTTAGGATGCCTTATCGATTTTGTCAATTGATCTAAAATAATTTCTTGTACCTGAGCACTTTGTGTTGGGAATATTAATCCAAATAATTCAATACTAAAATCTACTAAAGCCGTTGCTGCAGGTGCTGGTTTTGGTATTTTATTATTATTATTGGTATTGTTAATATTATTATTGATATTAATGGTGTTGTCATTAATAATTGATGATGATGAAGACCAATAAGTGGTATAAATCATTAATGGATCGTGTTCAGGTGCCCCAATAATTGGTTGTTCTAATTGATTCTCTACTCTACTTTCTACTAAATCTCTATTTAACCAATCTCTCACACCTATTTTCCTACTATCACTTTTTTCTTCATCATCATCTATTAAATTAGCGATATCTATATTCATTCCTTGCAATCTACTGGTCACTCCATATGCATATTCGTCTCCTGTTGTCCATACACTGGTAAAATTTCCTGAAACTGCTGCTACAATGGCTGCTGTAATAGCGCTACCCACATTTTTTTCGGGATCCGCAAATTGTGTTACGCTTAATTTCAATAATTGTGTAATTAAATTATCATATACACTAATCGGTCTTAAGGCCACAAAGCATTGAAAAATTCTTCTTTTTAACATATTTTCTCTATCCGAAAATTTTAAAGAAGTAGAAAATGGTAATTGTGGTGTTATTGACGTAACAGACGAATTTGGTGTAGGATTATTCGAAAAGGAATTTGGTACTAACGAAATAAATGTTAATGCATTACTTAATAATGCTACTAATCTTTTTGATATATCTATTGTAACTAATTTAGAATTATGTAATAGAAAACTTAACATCGCTCCTAATACACATTCTCTTACGTGAAACATAAATGCCCATTCGTTTTCAGTTCGATTTGATACTGATTCTTTACTATTGGTTGATTTAGGTAATGCTGTTTTCCATAATATTAACAACTGTGGTAAATGTAATGTAACAAAATTAGGCCCTAGTGTCATTAACGATCCGATTAATATCCAACCTACTTGTATTTGTATACTTGCAATTGCCAAATCTTTGTTTGCGCTTGTTTTAATTAGATGCGTTGATAATGAGAATATTTTTGCACTTAATTCAAATGGTACATTTAATGGTCTGCTTGGTATGACACTTAATAATGCTGCTAACCCATATGCGTATCCAATTGTTCTCTTTGATAAATCTATTGTTGATAATTGATTCGCTAAATTATTTAGATCTTTATTGAGTAATCCGTGTACTCTTGTAATTAATCCTGATAATTTGATTGGTAATGAATAACATAAACATCTAAGACACCATGCTGTTACTATTTGCACCGAATAACTCGTATGACTTAATAATAAAACTAACGGATCTACAACTACATCGTACACTGTACTTGCCGCTCCTCCTAAATCCAATAATAATCCGGATATTTCATTTACTGCACATACAAGTGATAATTTTGATGGTTCAACTTGATTTGTCATTAATGCTGGCCACTGTTTTAACCATCCATTAGCCAATTCTCGTACCGCAGTAACTTGCCCTTGTTCACTTAATAATCTCGTTCCAATAACATCACGTAATAATAACTCACAATGTTCTCGAACATTAAGTGCTTCATAACGTGATGATGAATTTCTTGGATGTGATACAAGATCTTTTAATAAATGTTGTGCGATAAATGAATAATTTAATTCAACATATTTTGTACCTAATTGTAGAAATAATGCCGAATATGATTCTATTATTGCTGCTCTCATTTCTTTTGTAGTTGATTGTTTATTATAAATTGTTGATAAATGTGTTAGCATTTCCTCTACAGATAATATCACTTTGGCTGATGATGAATCCTGCTGTGAGCTTAATGTTGGACTTCCACCACCTGATGTTTGTGATGATGAATTATTTGACGTGGTGGATGATTTATTCTTTGAAGATGACGATGAAGTTGTTGTTGCCAAAAAGTCAACTTCATTCTGCGTACCTGCTAATAATGTTGCAATATATGAAGAAACTGATCGACGAATTGTTTGATTAGATCCATCAAGTAATTTAACCATTTGGTTAAGTAAATTATCTAGTTCATTAGCTGAAATTGGATATTGTTGATGTGTATACTTTGCCACAGCATGCATGCACTTTTATTAACAAAAGGTTTTGGTATTAATAAAAATAAAAAAAAGATGTAAAATAAATCAATAATGATTGATTTATTACCTGTACTGAGGCAACCTTAATTATCAATGCCTTATCGCCTAACCCGGATTTCATTTGCTTCATTATATCTTTTATTATAGATTCTGTTGCACCTTTACCTGCTCCTTCAAGAGATTTACTTATCGTATAAATAGCTTCTAATCTAACAATCAATGCCTAAAATATTCAGATAGAAAACGAGAAATTTCAATATTGTAAAACAAATTTTTAACATTTAAACAATAATTATGTGCGTACATTAGACGAATTCTTGATCGTTTTCAAACAAATATTAATAGTTTCAGGAAATAGGGATAACATTCTATCACCTAAAGATTTTAAAATTATACCGATACAATGTAAAGCAGCTCTAAAAAAAAAAAAAAAGATTTTTAATTAAAGAAAATAACAGCAGAAATATATTTAATTGTACTCACAATTTAGTTTCTTTTTCTCCTACATTTTTACCTGCACCAACTAAACTCTGAAGTGCTGTAATAGTATCAAATAAAGTTCTAGATTCTCCTTTAATATATATAATAACAAAAATTCTTGCTACGAGTTGTCTAATAGGTCTATGTGGTTTTGGCGCTACTGACGATATAAATTTTAATAATTGTTTCTCGAGATTTGTTTGGCATTGTTTTAGTGAATCCTTAAAAATATTATACCAGGAAGCGAAATAAAATAAATAAATAAATAAATAAATAAAGTTATTTAACTGATGAATTATTTACTTACCTTATCAGTTTTTTTGAGCTCTCTTTCTAAATTAGCTAACCAATTAAAAACATATAATTCTTGTTTTTCAGGATTTGCTGCATTATATGCAATTTTTTGTTCATCAAATAGAAAAGGATCATTAAATGATGTAGGATTTGGAGATTCTCTTCCTGTTGAAACTGATGATATTCTTGGCGAGGCCATATTATTAATTAAATTAAATAAAATATTTATTGAAAAAAAGCTTTAAGGTTCAGGTTCAAAACAAAAAATTTATATAAAATTTTTTTTTGAGATCACTAAAGTTTTTGTACGACGGTTGTAGGGTGTCCAGAAATATGTGGTGATGAACCTCAAAATATGTATGTGAAAAAAATGAAATATGTGATAATATGTGTTTATAATTCTGGTAAAAATTATGTGAAATTTACT